GAGTTGAACTAGTGAATTACTTGTTAAGAATTTGGAGAGACAGCTGGACATCTAGAAACTACCTGCCCTAGAAATGCAGCCATCAGTGGACTGTGGTATCATGTTTCATACAGAAAGGTTTGAGAAAGTATTAACAGATTTGAGTAGAGTAAGTCATTCATGACCCTCAGGAATGCTGGTTCAGTAGAGTGAAGAAGGCCAGAAAGCCAGGATGCATTTGGTTTTACAGAAGGAACCCTAAATATTGAAAGACAGTGTACATTCAGTTCATCTTCAAGATATAATTTAGTGTGCCTAACAAGAGGAGAGCCACAGTAAGTAGATGGGGAAGAGGTAGGAGAGTAGAATGGATGATTCATTTCAGTCCCTGAATAAGACCTTGTGATTAAATTAGTTGGTTCTCTACTTTCCCGTAGTTTCAAAGTTGAACAAGTGGATACATTGTGCTTCCTAAACTGGGCAGACAATGGGGATAAAGCACAGATTCTCCATACAAGTAGACTCTGTCTCACTTGAATAGTAATGTTTTGTGTTTTTGTGGGTTTTGTTTTTTTTCCCCCCCTTTTAGAACTTGTCCAACTTGATGTTTATCCAGTTCCAAGTCATCTGTCCTACATGGATATTTCAAGGTAAGGAGTCAAATCTTAGAACACTTTAGAATCTCGAGTGTACCATGGTTCAAACCAGAAAAATCAAAGTGTCCCCAGTTTAGAACACCAGGGTTGGGCTGAAATGATTAGTAAATTCAGGGCCAGAGGTCTTAGAAGGTCCAGTAGCTCTGGAACTTATTAACCACGTATTGTCTTTACTTGAAATGATGAAAGTTCCTTTTCAAAAACCATGTTGTACTGTGCTGCTTTGATTTTTCTCCCCCTTTCGTTGTTATTTTGTTATATTTTCCTTTAAACATGATTTTGAAAAAGAGTGTTTGTGATTGTTAAATTGCTGGAAAGAAAAACTAGATCTGGTTTTCGTTGTGTGAAATTTGGCATAAAAGAGACTAAAAAATAGTGCTTAAGCTTCCCAAAATAGGGCCTCTGTGGATCCTGCTCAGTTCTCTGAGTTTATTCAGGAATGTGCAGACATCCACTTTAGTATATGAACTCCCTCTGCAGTTTGTCTTGTTTGTACCTGTTCCCACAAATGTCACAGTGACTTTTTCATGAAGGCACACAGTTAAGTGTGACTTTGCCTGTAGCATTTATTTACATAAATTAAACTTCAATAATTTTAACACTCTGAAATGGAAACTCACTTTGAAGGTAATTCCAAAGGAAATACCCAAAATGGTTTGTACAGTCAGAGCACATGGGAGTGTGTGGCTCCCTCAGAGTGACAACTGCTGAACCGTTGCTGCAGGCCCACTCGGACGTTTGTTAAACAGCAGTCACCTTTATAGTTACCTTGTCATTTGTCATGCACAGAATTTGCCTCTTGTCATAAAAATACCCTAACTTGGTTATTTTAGTAAGGTACTCAATTATAATTATGAAAGAATGTGTCATTATTTAGTAATTCTAAGAAATATTGCTATTTCAATTTTATTACATATTTGTAACTATAAAATTATAAAATCCTGTAAGAGTTGGACTTCATACCAAACCAGAACCCACTGCCGTCAAGTCAATTTTGACATCAAGCGACCTCCAAGGTTCTCAATTATAATTATGAAAGAATGTGTCATTATTTAGTAATTCTAAGAAATATTGCTATTTTAATTTTATTACATATTTGTAACTATAAAATTATAAAATCCTGTAAGAGTTGCACTTCATACCAAACCAGAACCCACTGCCGTCAAGTCAATTTTGACATCAAGCGACCTCCAAGGTTTCCAAGGCTGTAAATCTTTGCAGAAACAGATTGCCTCATCTTTCTCCCTTGGAGAAGCTGGTGGGTTTGAACCTTTGGTTAGCAGCCCAACACTTTAACCACAGAACCACCAGAGCTGCTCACGAGGTCTTTAAAACTCACTGCTATTGAATCAATTGCAACTCATAGCTACTACCCCCACTGGGTTTCTAAGGATGTAAATCTTTATGGAAGCAGAGTGCCTTATCATTCTTCCACAGAGCTGCTGGTTGGTTCGAACCACCAACTTTTTGGTTAGCAGCCAAATGCCTTAACTATTGCACCTAAAGAGAGCCCCTTTATTAGGTCTTTAGAGTTCCTCAAATTCAAAGTTCCTGGTGATTCTATCGCTTACTGGAGTTTTGATTTCTGTATATTTAGGCTGCTTACACTGAGGGATACCTTTATTCTCCAGTCTTTCTGAGGGGCTTTAGAGGTTAATAACTATAAAATAAAATCATTAAGTGAGTCTGTCATTACAGCTTCAGAGCTGGAACCCCATGTGCCTATAGAAACAGTAAGCAGAAAAGAACACCTTCTGATTCTATATTTCAATTGAAAAGTTGATGAAGTAGCACAATTAAAGAACATAATGTTAAGTCTCACATAATTCTACCACATAAAATCACGCCTGTTTTTACTTTGGCTCTAACATTGTATAGTCCTTGTCTCAAGCATATTTTTACAGAATCGTTCATCTGTTTGTAAAATATTACAACATACACACTGTATCTTAGCTTCTTACATTCTTTGTGCCTGATTGCTTCACATATTTTTAAAAAGAAATTAAAAGGCTATGTATGGAAACATTCCGATACAGTAAGTTTGTGTAAGTTTACTATTCATTCATTTAATAATTAAAGTCGCCATTACTTCTGTTCACATGTGTCTGGTAATTATATTTACCATCTAATGCCCATGTAAATTTCATCAAGTGTTTATAACCTTGAGTATTTGAAAACCCTGCAGTGTTGTGATACATGGAGTTACCAAAAGTCAGAGTCAACTTGATGACAATTTTTTAAATTAATTGCCAGTGCACGTCCTTACTGCTGCCATCATTAAATTGCTTCTCGCACGTCCCAATTATGTCTGAATGTGTTTTCATGAAGCCCAGTAGAATTGGAAAGTATTTGAATGTTAAGGGTAAAATGCAATTGGAAAATAAAACTATTTTATACCATTTGACTGTTGACTTAACTAGAGAGTGTGTGTGTGCGCGCATGTGTGCGTGTATGTACTTATGTCTGTTCCCATATAAGGCGTGCTCCCCTAAACCTGCCTGGGTCTATAAATTGTTTAGGTGAGTACTTCTGGGAACCAGCCTTTTACATGTTAGAAGTAATGCAAATGATAGAACTAATGGCCTTCCCTGTGTTTTCTTTCTTTCTTTTCTCTTACCGCTATTCATCTGGCTTCTAGATTAAAATGAACTCACATATCCTTTTGCTGTATACTGACTATAGTTTGGTTTTTCATTTGAAATTTTACTTATTCTTTGTTATTATTTTTAAACCACATTTTAGGCCAAATCCAATTAAAAATTTTAAAAAACAACCCTTTTATATTCTTGTGTCTAGGAATCGTTTAGAAAACGTGCCTGAGTGGATATGTGAAAGCCGAAAGCTGGAAGTTTTGGATATTGGCCATAATCGGATATGTGAGCTGCCTACACGGTGAGTATTGCAGGTCAAATGAATGAATCTAAAATTAGCTAAGCAATTGAAAAACATTAATAATACTGGTTCCATGTTGTAATGTTCCAACTTGTAATTATGAACACCTAAAAGAGTTTGTTTTAGAGTCATATTTGGTGTCTTTTGCCTCATGTGGTGTCTGCAAGTTACAAAGTGTCTTCATGCATGAAAAGTACAGTGCAGCTTTGATTATCAGGCAGGCTTTTCACAGCCAGGCAAAGGATGGTGCTTGGTGGGCATCTTCAAATGAGGCCCCCAAAATGTCCACAGACGGGGCAAGTAATATGATTGGTTCACCTCTGGGATCTTAATCCTTTCAGAATCTACTGCTTTTATCCATTGACTTAAGCTCACCTCATACAAATATTTGTTTTCCCTCAAACATAATTTTGAAAAAAGTATTTGTGGTTATTAGATTGCTAGAAGAACAAACTAGATTTTATTTTTCTTGGTGTGAAATGTGGAGTAGAAAACCCAGAACTTCTTTGTCCTCTTTAATCCCCCCCATGTTATTTTTATTTCATAGTTTTTGCTTTAATTGTAAGATTGCTAAGCAGCCATGTGATGCCTGTCCACGGATGAGATGGGCATCATGTCTGTGAGTTGACTGATGGTGGCTCAAAGTGTTGTTGAACTGTTTGTGACTGTCCACGTCAGTCTGTCTCAGCACCACCCCATGTAGCTTTCTGTGAGGGTGCCCCAGTACGGCAGTCTGTCTCAGCACTGCCCCATGTAGCTTTCTGTGAGGGTGCCCCAGTATGGAATCCACTGGCACATGTAGCTGTTGAGGACTTGAAATGTGACTAGTGTGAATGAGGAACTGAATTTTTAATTTTAATTAATTTTAATTTAGATAACCACTTGGGGCTCATTGCTACCATTTCAGACAGCTCAGGTTTGACTGTTTCCACTCTTGTCAGTCGTCATTGAGTAGAGGAAGTCCATTGTTCACCTGACTGTGTGCAGTCAAAAATACCAAATACATTTTATTAAAAGTATGTCACCATTTTAGAGTAAATCTTTACCTTAGAGGCATAGTCCTTAAAGATACATCAGTGATATTTGTCTGTTTTCTTGTAAAGAATAAGAATGATGAATACACATGTGTGGTAGACTTGGCAGTTGCACTATCCAGTATGGTAGCCCCTTGCCACCTGTGGCCACTGAGCCTTGAGATATGACCAGTCCTAATTGAGAAGTGGACGTAAAATATCTCTTTAACAGTCTTCTACATTTATCGCATGTTGAAATAATACATGGTTAGGTAAGATAGACTAAAAATTAATTCACCTTTCTCCTTTTACATATTTAGACAATCTTAAATTACAATGTGGCTGACATTCTATTTCCAGTCAGGGACAGATTACCCAAAAGTAAAGTAAGCATGGGCTTACTTGTGCTTACTTACTAATCTGTAGTGAACACATTAAAGATGTGATGAAATTGTTCACTGAAGGTTGGTAAGGAAGCACAGGTAAACCTGGGCTTACCTTGTCTGCTGGGTACTCCAACCCTGTCAGAAAATGTAAATTTGAAAAAAGGGATTGGAAGAGAGACAGATGCCAGCCGCCCTAGAAGCAGCATCTTAGATGAGGTGAGACGATGTGAGATTGTTTGCTTACAGATTACTGTGTTTTCTTCCGACATATGACACTCACGTAAATAGCATGCCCGTGCATATAGTATGCATGGTGCACATGGGAAACTGACGGACGAGGAGGTGGCATGGTTTGCAAATTCTGTATGACGCATGTGTTTTGCATAAAAATACAGTTGTAAATAAGCTCAAGTATGGGTTTTCCTTGCTTATTGGGAAATCTGGCACTGTTTCTGCTGGACAGCACTGAGTTAGAATGTAGTTGCTATAAACGCAATCGGAGTTAGAGTTCAACTCCTGCGAGGCTCCGCTGGTTTTTCTTTGTGCCTCAGCCATGCGTTCTACCTATACATTCAGTCACCCGTTTGAAAATGCTTTCTGCCCTGGGGTGTTACATAGAATGGTTGAGCATTTAGGTGACCCAGAACATCCCTCACCGAAAGCCGTCGGAAATGTGCCCTGTGGGCAGTATAGAGCATTCGTGTCTGTACACATACAGCCTGTCCATCCAGTCGTGTGTTCATCCCTTTCAGAAGAGGAATAGCACCAGTGAAAATAGGCTGCTACTAATGAAAACAGTTGAAGAAAGGTTTCACC